GTACAATATTCGTCAATGGCAACGGAACACAAAAAAAAAGTTTACCAACTGTTATCCAACTAGAATTGTCACAGTTCAAATTGATTGCGACAATATTTTGTATGAAAATGTGTAGACGGTAGGTCAGATTTTATCTGAGGATATTAGAAGTTGACGAATGCGAATGAAATTACAAATGTTATTAAATAATAATAAATGATTGCTTGAATTAAGTAATTTAATACTCAACATTAATTTCAAAGTTATCAGACATCTTGACAATCATTTCTTATATTTGTTACTTGGATATTTAATGATTTATGTCATTAATGTATTCTTAGTTAATTTACGTCAATTAAAGAAGATGAATCCATAAAATTCAAGGAAAATGGCAGGAAAATTTCCTTAAAGAAAAGGCGATAATTTTTATCAACCTCAGAGAACACACAAACCATAAAATGTTATTTTCCCCTCATGATGTTTCATCTCGACATCCATAAAGATACATTTTAATGATAAAACATGAATTTGCTTCCAGTAAAAAACATGAAAGGCATGCAATTAAGTTTAAGTTTAGTAGAAAATTGAAAACTAATGTAGTCATTTCCATAAACATGACCGTTTTATGGAAATTGAATTTTATATTCGTTTGTACAATAGAATGCAATCGTGCACCTTGATTTGAAGTATCAAACATTGTATCAAAGAATATTTATGCAAATTCACCAACAATTAAAAATGATTAAATCAGAGGAGAGAGAGAATTTATAATTCTACAATTCTGGTTAATTGATAAACAACACCGAACACCAATAGTTAATTAAATAACTTGCCGTACTTTGTCGACAGTGCATAAATTATGTAAAAATTGAATTGAATTATTGTCATGTGCCACTGCTTGTAGTCATTAAGGAAAAGATAGCATTGGCAAAAGAAGAAAATATCGACAGGTTATTTAAATCTCGATAGTTGATAGCACGACAAATAACGGTAGCAAAATGAATTTTTTGCTTTTATAAAAATTACTACTTACTTGTTGCAAATTTAATAAAAAAAAGTACAATGCATACATTAGGAACGATTATTCAACGATGCAAATTTATTTGCAACACAGCTTATAAGTGACTTCATCGTATAGCACGAAGAGTAAACGCATGAAGGTTATTTTTATTATTTTAATCTGCTATGATAACTTCTTCAAACGAATGTTTTCAAATAAACTGAATATACAATTTTTGTAAATTTGTTTAGCTGATATTTTCTTTCTATGAGTCATACAAATTTTAAAGGCATTGAAATTACACAGGTGGAAATTTTAATATTTACGAAAATAATTTTCATTTTTAAATATTCTAATATAGCATTCTGCTGATAATTGTACAACACAGAGAAATCCTCGGTAGTATAGTGGTGAGTATCTCCGCCTGTCACGTGGAAGACCCGGGTTCGATTCCCGGCCGGGGAGGATTTTTTTGTTTTTTTTCTTAATTTTTAATTTATTTCATTGCAAAGAGAAAAGTTAAAATTACCCACTAAAACTCTCTTTTTCATGCAAAATTTATGCAAATGAATTAGTCAGTCTTTTTGTGTTAGTCATAAAATAATAAATAAAAGCAATTTTGTGTGTTCCTAAACTAGATCAATTCCAAAAACAGACGCTGTTGTTATTTATGCATGCATGGAACTTCCAACCCAACCTGTGGAGTCATCTTGAATAATTTCAATGAAACTTATTGAGAGACAAGATAAATGTTTTGGTAGTATAATGATCCAAAATAGAAAATCAACAATTGCACAGGCTGGTTGACATCATGTAACATGAATGATTAATCTTAGAAACTCTAATAAATTATGGAAAAGGGTGACGTTGAACTAGAAATAATCTCGAAGACGGTTTTATTGACCGTATAAAATATTTCTCTTTTCCCTCGGAATTCATTATTATCTTAGAGCCATCTCATAGAAACAAATTATATTTACTTGAAAGTTTCTTCATAGACTTGCAATTATAATGAATTTATTGCTTACGCTCGTACAATTAATTAGTGTAATAGATTGATTGATTATGATTGGCAGTGTTAGCCGTAATTTATTAAATGCTTAATAATCGAAACAAGCGTAAATGTTGCGTGTGACGTTTTTAAGATGAAACAGTTTGGAAAATGAAACATGTGACTTCGTGCAACTTTCTTTCGTGTCATTCGTGTTACGCGCAACGAAGAAATATAAAATTATATTTTCTTACTTTTTTGTTAAATATCTTTTGAACTGTAGTATACGCTCGATACTCAAACTGAATGGACGTTTAAAGCAGTCAACTGCTCATCCGCGTATCCATTAGAGATTGCAGTAAACGAGAAAATTAGTGAAGTGAGGAATTTTCAGTATCACTCTCATTAAGATTATCTACTTAGCCTCGTTTTAAGAATATATAATTATTTTTTGTTCTGAGTTGTTCTTACAGTGTGAATAGAACTTTAAAAACAAGAAGTGATTTGTTGGAAAAATTTACATAAGTTTTAGGAAATGCTTCTTGAAGGTATAAATAAAAAAAAGTAAGAGAATTAAGAAAGACATAACTGACAAGTTCTATTGAGTGAAAAGTGAAATATGTCTAACTGATGATGTGATATCTCTCATTTAAGTGAAAAAAGATTTTCATATCTATAAATTTAAAAAGTGATAACATTCAGTGTTGCTGTAGAAAATATTCGTGACTTATTTTATAAGTAAAAGATTGGTTTTACCCAATAAAAGTTAAATAAAGTCTTCGATTAATTTAAAATTGCTTCATTAAAATTTATTATGGAATAAAAGTGAGAAGAAGCTTCAAGTTTTTAAATAAAATCCTTAATAAAAGAAAAAAAATTAATTAACGATGTTTAATGTGTTTTAAAAGGTAACTTGAAGTTTTCAAATTGATCTAGTGCATCATAACATAAATGTAAAAGAAAAGATTTTATCTCAAGGAAACAAGTTGATAATTCATCGAATTCATTAAAGCTACCTACTTCGTTTTCATTTGCTGCATTCTTTTCTTTGTGCACTCATAATTTGATTAAAAGGAATTTTCTGCAGATATTTCTCATCGTTACCAGTTAGAGAAATGTTGTAAATTGTAATCGAAACATGCGGAATTTTTAAATTAACTTTGAATAAAGTAGAAAAACGCGGAATAAAAAAAGAAATTATTGCTATTGGTCATCAATGGAAGTCATTGTAAAATATTTAGTATGTGTGTTTAGTTAGTTGCAACAATTCCATTACCAATTATTGCACAAAATGATAGTAAATAGAGACGAGAATCGATTAAAAGTTGTGACATCAAAATCTTGTTTGTGTAAAATGCAGATTTAGCAGCAACTTCACTTAAAGTTATTCAAGTCGTTAAGCAAATTTTATTTACTTAAAGAAATACAGAAAATTGAGCGTTCGTTGAAGATATCTTCAAATAAAACCACATTATAAAAGTCAAAGTGAATATGTCAAAGACACCATCATGCTCTTCTTAAAACTAAAGCCAACGAGAAAAACGGAAATATCTATTCTTGTTAAAAGGAATTTTTTTAAATTATAATGAGTTTACCGAAAGGATTGAGCGATAACTTCGCATGTGAAGAACAATCTCAAGGGCAAATTAAATTTCTTAAAAAAATATTCAATGATTTTTATGACGTTCTAGATTCCTTCTCATGTGAAAAACAAGAACGTAAACATAATTGAGAATCATTATTTTCTGAAATAGTTTTACCATTATCCTCTTATGATCAATTATTTTCATGTCATAAAAAGCAAATCACATGCCATCACATATTTATTAAAAATAAGCCGATTTTGATGTTTCAGACGAACTTGTTAACTTTGGCATTTTGTTACCAATTTGTCGACTGTTTTGGAAGGAAATTACATCCTTCAGATAAGAGAAATTCGATGAAAGCCAGACAGTAATTTCATCTTGGTTTAAAGGAAAACAATCCAAACATTTCATTCAACTTAATTTAATACAAGCATTTTCCTCCTACGTAAACTTTTTCTTCTTCTTTTTAAGTTTTGTTTTAATTTTTATCGTCTGCAAACTTGGACTTAGTCTTTAAATGCAGAACGCTTCATTCCTAATCTTAAGAGAGCCAATTGTTGATAAGCTTCTATAAGTGGTTATCGGTCAAATCTTGGACATTTCCTGCCAAGTTCAATTTTCTTTTTGAATAAACAGCCGAAAGATATCTCCGGAAAGAAATGTTTTCAACAAATATCAACAAATCATCTAAAATTTTATTGTGCCTTAATTTTTTAAAAATTGTTTTGATGAGTTTAATTCGATTTTATTTCATCGAATCTATCGGAAACCTTTAACTTATAATTATCTTAATAACAAATTTTACACGAATCTTCAGATAAAATATTTAATTTATATCGATGTTACAACTTGTAATCGCACATTTTTATTGTTAAACTTCCATTAATTTGATTAAATCAAATTTAATCGTTTAAGATGTTTTTGACGAAAACGTAATTATAACAAGATTTGATTTATTTTTGTACGAAGAACTCAATTCTCATGAAAACCAATTTATTGCTTTCTCGAATGTTTGTTTGTTGACGAAAATTTGTCTTGTCGTATTTTTTATGTTTTTTCTTTTCTTATCGAATTCTTACAGCTGGAAAAGAGTGAAAGATCGAATAGAAATTGTAACAAATGTTGCTTTCATCAGTAGCATGATGATTAATAATAATTTTTACAGCTTTGAACTTAGATAGATGGAAGAAACCTCCACGCAATACCGAAAATATAATCAAAATTCCCTCTTTTGTTTGGTTAAAATCTAAACTTATAATTTATTTATTCGACGTTGTTATCGTTTACACGAAAATTGCTGAAAATTTCTTAATCTACATTTGATTCTATTTTAATTACTAAGCTTTATTTTGCTTTCTTCTTGTCGAAGATGCAGACAAAAGATAGAAAGAAAAAGAATATTTAGCATTAAACCAGATTCAGCTTGTTGCACGTTTACTTCATGTTACAATTTAATTATCCGAGTTTTCTAACATTGTAATTCAGAATCTTTCAAATAGTTGAAGACATCACATGAAATACAGATAAATTGTACAACAAGCGTAGCATATTCATGCATTTCTTTGCTTCTTTTATTTTTCAATTAAATATGGTAATTTGGATAATTAAATTTTGTAACTCATTTAAACCTGTAAACACGCGTCAAGAGATTTCATTCAACTGTAAATTCAACATCGAATGATTTAATGAACCTTGCTGAGGCACGCGCTTTCTGAGTTAAATGTCAAATAGAATTTAATTACTGTTTCTTTGTGAAGCTGTTAATGACTTAGAACATTTTCTTCTAGCCCAATTAACAGCCCACCTTCCTACCATGCTTCATTTGAGTCATACCAGGATTTGCTATCATTCAACCCATCAATATGATTTTTTGCTGTTTTTATTCGTTTCGCATATTGCAACTATTTTGTCATGTTTACTCAACAGAAAAATGCATTGAAGCTTTTTTAGCTTACACAACTTGTTTCATCGTAAATTGTTTGCATCAAGCCGGCTCCATTTCATTTGACACATGAAAACAATAACAAAGACTGATTTATGTGAAGAAAAAAAAACTTTTACTTTCTCACGAGGGAGAGATAGAAAAGGAGACACTTTTGGAATATGTTTCCACTTCCAAATGAATTAAACTTTACCGTTTGATTGTGTTGTGAAAATGATTCGCCCACAAAAACCACAGCAATCACGCCGACAAAGTGAAAAAAGTTTACATCAAAACAAAATTATCGCAAATGCGAAACAGAAGTCGTAAATTTTAGTTGCGAGTTTCGACGTTTAAAAAGTATTCTTTATCATAATATTCAAAATGATTCATCGTGAGTTGAATGAATTTAGATTCTTTCTTAACATTTCTTTGACTTTTCTCTGCGGGGTGTTTAGCATTCTTTTTTATTGTTTCAGTCAATTATTTTGAAGTTGTCTCTGCACATTGTTCACTTCATGTCCTAATTAAAATTAACGATTGTTCTCTGCAGTGACAACACAAACTACTCGATAATGCCATAGACATTTAAAATCCACACGTTCCTTGCCTTTGTCAAGTGATTGATTAATTTGGTTTTCTATAAACATTTTTCATTTCACAGTCTCACACTCGAAACGATTGATTAAGTGAAATTTGTATGCCTTTATTTGGTATTAAAAATTAATTTTCATCAAACAGTAAACTGATGGAAGTTCACGCTTTTCAATGAAAGAAATCAATCATTTGAGATGTGCTAGCTTGAAGAATGTCGCGAACTTGAATGATGTCTAAAAATTTTTTCTTGTCTTTAAGCTTGTAACTCAACTAAGCTTTGCAATTTGTAACTCTGACAATGTATTATCATCTTAATCTGATCATGAACATTTCAATTTAATCAATTCATTGGCGCGACTCGCAACAAAAACAAGTAACGAAAGTAAACGCACTTTATGCCATCTCGACTTTCAAAGCAAGAATGGACAGAATTGAAATAAATTTCAGCGTCACACCGGCATATTCATCAACGCCGACAGTTCTCAATGATGCTATGTCGAAAACAAGCAACCATCCGAGCATCGCATATCAAACAACGACGGTGAGTGTTTCAACGCCCATTTAATGTACCATAAATTTTTTAACCCATTTTTTCCTTTTCGTAAATTTCCATATTTTTATCTTTCAATTCTCATTCACACTCATATTCACTGCTTTGGACATATGTTATTTCTTTTTTGCGAATTAATTTTAGATTTACAGTCTATCGTCAACGACACCGATTTCTGCTGATTCATCCGTCATTACAACAACTGAAAATGCTACTAATGATGAGATTAATCAATTCTACTTTTATGAGGTAATTTCAGCGTATTTTATTTATTATTCTTTCATATCAAATAGCTTTTAAAGATATCTACTGAACATTACAATATGCTTAGTTTGCGTTTAATGAGATTTGAGGATGGTTGGCCAGGTGCCATAAATGACTTGCGTTAACCGCAGGGTTGTCAAACGATTGACGTTTTAATCTATTATTTAACGAATGAAAATCTCGCACGGCTTTTAACTTGACATCTAAATCACTCTGTAAAAATTTATTTCTAGAGAATTTCCTTCATTTGTCATAATAACACCTCTGACATTTGCAATCTATTAGCATTTGAGACTTAGGCGCAGTGCTTAAGCATCCATGTAGAATATTCATCGCCTTATTTATATGACAAGGACGCCAAAATGTCTCGAATAATTTTTAAATCATCTCTCTAGAGAATATCTTTTTAATTATTGAAATAAATTAGCTTGAACATTTTTTAAAGATACATTTGAACATCGTTTCAGAATTGTGCTCTTGGGTGGGTTATTGTTAATTATTCTCGTTTCACTTCATGGCTTCAATATATCTCACGAGAGTGGGAAATCATTAAACGCATAAATTACAGCTTATTACATCGGTGAATGAATGAGAGTAAGAACTAGGAAATCTCTTCTCTATGCTTTCCTTTCTTTCCTCCGCAATCTTTGCTTAAGATTTATTATCGTCGAAAAAAAAGAATTGCCGCCTGTATTATGTCAGCAAAAATATATTTTCACTCTTCTAACGAATAAGCTCAAAGATTTGAGGTGAATACGATAATAAGTTTAATGACCTGACAAGAACTCTTATTCATGTTGCAATCAATCGACGACAAATTCACAACGGAAGAGTCAAGTGCAGCGGCTGTTGATGCAGCAATTTACACACCTTTCACTATTTCCTTGAAGCATTGAAATCGTGAGGAATGTTGTCTTTACCGTTTCGGGATTTGTCATCATTAGTTTTCTTGAAAAAGTCAAAAGTAATAAAACGTGTTAATATAAGCAATCAACATGATTGAAAATAATTTCACTCAAGGTGTCAAGTAATCAGTCGCTAGCCATAACAAACTTCAATATATTTTCAAAACGTCTTCTCAACAGAAATGATCGTGTCTAATTAAAAAAAAAGAAAATCTCTTCTATGAAATGAGATATGGATTAATTTTCTTTTCAAGATTTTAGGTTTAAAAGAATTCTTTTGAGTGTTTCGTGTTTCGAATTACTTTCCTTTGATACTTAACAGCTCAATTTGGGATGAAGTTGTTAAAAGATAATTAAAAAAATGTGACGATGAACGCAGTCGGTAGGATTCGAACCTACGCTCCCAGAGGGAATCTGATTTCTAGTCAGACGCCTTAACCGCTCGGCCACGACTGCGATTTTGCGCTTAGTTTCGTTTTGACGATCAGCAATTTTTCATTCATGTTCGTTTACGTTAATTTTTATTTATTGCGAAAAGGTGAAACGTGAAAACATCAAAAAACACACAAAACTTCAAAAGACATCTTCATTTCTAAATATGATAATAAATCTTTTATGAACTCGTGGAAATGATAATTTATCATTGAATCATCTGCTCTGGTTTATTCAGAAGATTTTGAAGATTTGTGACCAACAAAGCTAGAAGCAAATGAACTAAAAAATAAACAAAATTTGAATGTTTTTTCTCGCTCTCATCTGAAACAGCAATTTTACGAGCAAACAGAATTTAAAGATACACAAAGCGATCTCTAATAATAGATTCGTTTTAGCGCTTGTTTGCAACAATTTGTTTTCTATCATTTTTTTTATGACAAGCGTCGTCACGACATGACCACGACTTTTTGTCGATTCAACAGTCTTCTTTAGTTCCAAACATCACGTTTATTAAAATGTTTCTTTTCATACTTTCATAAGGTTCACTTAATAACATTATAAGTTCTATTTTTAGCGACGATTTTTGTTATTCTACTTTTATATAAGAAACCACGTCAAATCTGTATGATTAATGACAAAAAGATTTTCATTTAATGATTTCATTATAATAAATTTTAAGCTCATTCACAAAGATGGCAAAAGCATATGTGATAATTTCGTTTCTCAATAGAAGCTAGGAAAATCTCTTAGCAGCATCCACTTAGTATTCCACATGGTATCAATAAAATGCGTTACTCTTTTTCTTTAACACGATTTTTTGTCATTTGTTCTTCTTTACTCTTTTATAATTCTCGAAGCGGGGTTGAAAAGAAGCAAAAATTCATTTCGAGCATAGTTGGAACGTTAGAAGTTTTCCAAAGTGTGCCTACAAAAATAGGTCAAATTCCCTTCGAAGCTCTCATGTGACACTAAAAATTTTCCTAACTTATAAATAAATAAATGAAAAGATTTCCTTAGCTTTAATTCCAGCATGTGAATGAATGAATAAATAAATAAATAAATGTATAAATAAGCAATTAAGGGAAGACATGAAGCTAAGTAATTTTTTAATTTTCTTTTTCTTTTCTGTTATTTATGTTGTAAGAGAATCTAATGTTGTAAAAGAGATGAAACAATTAAGGAATGACAAGGGTTGATGATACAGGAGAAAGAAAAATCTTTCGCATTGCTTAACGTCGAATGAAATGAACAATAGTGAGAAATTATACTCTGGGAGTATCTTCGGTAATGTGCTTTTACCGTGGTTTGATTACGAGAATAAATATCTCATCTTGTAGAGCAAGAAGCATAAGTAAATTCTGAAGTTGTTTCTATTTGATTTTCCATGTAACAATGAAAACCTTTATGGGATTTCACAATTTCTCATGCACACAGTTGATGAGTCTTCTGGGTTTAATGTTATAGCGAACATAAATTAAATTCTTTTTTCTTTCTACCATCATTTCTCAATTCCAGGCTAAATCTAAACGTACACATGTTGAATGAAGATGAGAACCAAATTTTTACTTTATTTTGTTACTTGGGAATAAAAACATAACGTATTAAGGGAAAGATTGTTGAATCACATATCAGTAGAGAATTCAAAGCTCATAATGTAAAAATGTTTCAACAGAAAGTCAAACATACGAACAGTTTCAAGTAACTTTCAGAATTGATCGATATTTTGATAGGATGAAATAGCCTGAAGATAAATTCTCAATAAAATATCTTTCAAGTATAAATTTACAAATGTTCTTTTGTTTCCAATATATTTCAACTTGAACAAGAATTGCATTCATAATTCTCATCTTTTTTTTTGATATATTTCCCTTTTTTTCTTCTTTTTTTTACAGACTGAACAGTTTACAGTATTGTGGATACTTTTTGCGACAATTGTTCTGGGCAACAGTGCAGTTTTGATAACTTTGTATTTAAATAAAAGGAAATCAAGAATGAATTTTTTCATAAAGCAACTGGCATTTGCAGGTAAATTTTTAAGTCAAACATTTAATATTTATTGAAAAATTCATTTTCATCCCAATTAATAGATTTGAGCGTTGGTTTATTCAACGTTTTGGTTGATATTGGATGGCGTTTCACTGTTACATGGGAAGCAGGAAATATCGCATGTAAAGTTATTAAATTCCTCCAATGTATGACTACGTATGCGTCGACATATGTTTTAGTTGCATTAAGTATTGATCGATATGACGCAATAACACATCCCATGAACTTTTCCAACTGCTGTAAGTATCAATTGATTGCGAGCTCAAGCATGCTGTGAATGCATTATATGATAAAAAACTTTATTCTTTCCCTTTTTTTCATTTAGGGAAACGTGCAAGGTTGCTTGTGTTCTTTGCATGGGCTCTTAGTGCGATATTCTCCATTCCACTTTTTATTTTATACGAAGAAGCAGTAATTCAGGGAGTGACTCAGTGTTGGATTGATTTGGGACCATCATGGCGTTGGCAAGTGTACATGTTGCTTGTCTCCACAGTTCTCTTCTTCATTCCAGCAATTATCATAACTTTGTGTTATGCAATTATCGTTAAAACAATTTGGGCAAAAGGTACTTACAAAGTGCCAAGAGATAGAAGAAAGCGGAACAGAAGCACAACAAGCAGTGACGAAGATGACAGGGAAAGCCGGCGGGCAAGTTCTCGTGGCATTATTCCACGTGCCAAAGTGAAGACTGTGAAGATGACAATTGTGATAGTTATTGTGTTTATTGCCTGTTGGTCTCCCTATATTGTCTTTGATCTTCTTCAGGTCTTTGAACAAATTCCAAAATCACAGACGAACATTGCATTAGCAACATTCATTCAAAGTCTTGCACCCCTTAATTCAGCAGCAAATCCACTGATTTATTGTATGTTTTCAGCACAAGTAATGCGAGGATTAAAGTAAGGAAATTGAAATAATTCGTAAGACTATTTATATTCATTTCCGTTCAATCCCTAGACGAACGAAACCTTATAGATGGCTGAGAAAAGTTTTATGCTGTAAAGGAACGAGTGAAGAATCATCGCATAAAATGCTACGCAATCAAAGAACCTTAACTAGCTCCACTCTTACCACATCCCTTACTTCATCATCCACCCGCACAACATCCCTTCTAAGGCCAAATAAAATCGTCAATTTCCATCATCAAACTGGAGACGCGAGCGAAATGAATGGAAGATGACATCAAATCAAAGACTGTTACGAGCTGTATGCATGAAAGGACTCCCATGATGATTATGAGAAATGTTGACCCTTTCAGAATGGTATTGTGTCTGATGAAATCTGTTTCCATTTGTCCTCAATCTCCGTTCTTGAATATCTTTCTCAACGACAAAGTTACAAGATACTTATTAGAAATAACAAGAGGAGATGTGTAGGATGTATACTGATACGAAATAAATGTTTCTGTGTTGATTTGATGTAAGTCATTGTGAAACAAACAAATATACTAATAGATATGTGAGAGATATTTTAGATCAGGATGTCATAAACTGTTGTTTTAAATTCATTTATTTATTTTCTCTTTAGAATCTTTTGAATCTTTATATCCATATTGTAGTTGCTGAAATAAAAACACAGAAATTAAATTGTCGTAGAGAAGCGATAAAATGTATTCAATTGAATAAGAAATATTTCTACACGCAATTTTATGTTTTCTTTGCTGCATAAATAAATATCTCAAGCCAAGACTTATTAAATTGCTTATTATAAATTCCTGTCTCATTTATTCACCATGTAAAAACCACTGCACAGTCTGTGAGCACACGACAATGCTTCATCTCGATGAGTGTGTGTTGTTTCTTTTTTCATTTTAATTTTTATGCAATAACCAGCTTATTAATTTGTGGCGACCATCGTAAATCTTGAGAGTTTTATTTTTTTCGAAATACATTTCTGCAATTTAAAATAAATTTTCTCCTTTCTTTTTCATCTGAGTGAATAGCCAAGTCGTGAGGAAGAGAAAAAAGAAAGAATTTATGGGGTCAAGTTTGGGCTAAATCATAATTCTTTTCCATTCTATGAAACAGAGGAAATGACGAAAGTTTTAATGCGAAAATTTTCTCTTCCTTTAAAATTAAACTTTTCTTTTGCGATTTACATTTATGTCACATGGTTGATAATGTTGTTGTTTGAGTTTGTCAGTCTGTGGAATGAAAATTCCTATGAAGCCGTTTCGAAGTGAAAATAAACAATTTAATTATTGCACGTAACCCTCGCCATTCCGAGAATAACACAATTAATTAACCACTTCTACATACATCTTGTCGATGTCAAACGATTGACTATACAGGGAAATATGAATGCATGTCGCTTGTAGCGGTTATTAATTGCCGACTCATTGAATTTCAGAGACGAGCTGGAAGGAATGAAAACTTGCATTCCTTCACGAGATGACGACTCATTAATTCAAAAGAAAATCAGTAAATACACAAAGTCTTGAAGGAAGCTACTGAAAACCTGACTGCAGGCAACGTTAATGGAGCATTCAAGAAGCTTCTTACTTTATAAAGTTCGATTCTTGTGAAAATATTTACGATGCCAACAAAGGGAAAATTATTCGTCTGACCTGTAATTAAACTACGTGTCGGAAGAGGTCAAACACATCTTTAATCACTCAGAAATTAATTAAGTGTTTGCTAAGTATTTTCATTTATTTCATCTTGAATATTCAACAGAAAATTGATTCATTGATGTTGATATAAAAAAAGATGTCAAGAATATAAACTTACACCAAGTTGAAAATGATTAAATGAAATATTTTTCCTTTCAGCAATAAAAAAATAAATTTAATAGTAAGTTTCATGGATCCTTTAGATTATTCGATCAAACCTTTCCAATGGTCAATTTCAAATCGAATAAATAAAGGACCGAAGAAAATTGTTTGGTTCTTCTAAGTGGAAAATAATATTTGTTACCAAGTCATGTGAAAATAATTTAACAAGCAGATTTTTCTTTAGAAATATTTCATTTTAATGGTTCAGATACTGCGTATGGAATCTTTTCAATTCTTAAGTCTCAATCTATTTTTGAACTTAAAAGGAATTACATACTTTGTGGATATCCTGCATAAGATGATTTAAGGAAAATATCTTGAAGAAAAGTAAACAGATAAAGTATCGAGACCAACACTACATACCAGATGGTCTGTTACCTTGTGAAAGGAGTAAAATGTCAGCTTTACTATCGAATAAAGTTATCGACTGTTGCATTGAAGATAAACAACAACAACAAATTGAAACAATGAGAGCAGCAGTGAATCTTAAATTCCAGAACATAAACATGATAAGTGTAATAAATCCACAGTTGAGATCAAAATAAAATTTATTTTTGCTACTTATGGCTTCTTAATTGACCGATTTTATCTAGTTAATTTAACAAATAACAATTAAAACAAACGGTGTAATGAAATATTTCTTTAATTGTTTATTGCTTCTAGACATCGTTTGTTAAGTTCATATCACTAAACTCGTTTTAATTAGATTTTTCACCCTGCTTCACTCTCAGAGGAACTTGTTTAAAAAAAATCACAAAAAATTATAACTTCTTGTCCACTTAAAGCATGTGGAGATGTATCAGCATGCTTTGTACAATTAATTTGTTATAAATAAACTTTTACTAACATTAACGAGCACAGTATGCGTTTGATTAAAAATCAGTTTTACTGTATCAATTACAGACATGAAAGTTTTAATATTTTCTCTTCCAAGTTCTCTTCAATGTCTTAACTCACCATTGCATTGATTTAATTTTATTTTATAAAAGACCTGCAATTACAATTCATATCAGAATCTCATCTGAAGTTCTTCTAGTAGCTTGAAAGTCACTTTTATCTCTTTCAATTTGATTTAGTTTATAAGTAGTTGCCATTATATTGCGCTACAAAGTTGAGTAAGGTTGATTTAATTAACATTATATTTATTAAATTATCTTTATAGATCATATGCTTTACATTGCAAGCCAAGCATTGTATAAAATTCCGCATTACATGATATGGAATTAAGATAAAATGCCATTTCTGTCGTTCATTAATCGATTTCAATTGAAGAGAAAGAGAAGGAATTAAGGAAAAAAACTGATTTCATTCTTTGCTAATGAGTCTCAACATGATGATAGCCTTAAATGCAACATGTGTGCAAGCGCGATCTCTGCTACTCGACGACTGCGGGGAATGTTTTAACAGAAAGATAAAACAATAAATAAAAAGCAACAAGATGAAGAAGAAGCGAAGTGTGAAGGTTTCTAGGGCAGTAATTGATATTCGTATCACGATGCTTTGCAGCGAGAATTATTCTCAAGCGAATAACGAAATACTTTTTAAATTTTATCATTTTCACACTCCGCAACAAATTCATTTCTATCATGTTGAACATTTTCAAATCTTTCAGATTTTCTCTCTCAACTGTAAATATTTTATTTTGCAGAATCCTGTGCTTGGTTATTGTTGTTAATAAATCTAATATTTTATCGCCTATGGAGAGAAAATTAAGTCGACTGCTGTATCCGATCGTTATTAAGAGTTCCGTTCAAGGTATTCAAACTTCTTCAATGTCATAAAATGTATGTCTGGTAGCCTGAACGATTTCTTTCTTTTATTATCTCATTTTTTATAACAACAGATGTCCAATCAAGAACGAAACGAAAAATAACAAATTTATTGATAATTTCTGTTATGGTACGTTAAGAAACTTTTCTCTGCGATTGATCATTTTGTTTTTTTTAATGAAGTTACATTTTTCATTCCACACTCTGAGTTTTTTTTTCGTCTTATTAATGACGCTTTTCATGCAATAAATCACATCTTTTCGTTAAGTGTAATCTTGCGTTGTTAAAATCATACTAACAAAAATTGTTTCAGCTTCTGTAGACACAAACGAGCATCTTTTTATTTCGTGGGTTTATTATAATGAGAAAGATGACTCGCTTCAAACGACGCAAGTTATTGTTAAGTCAACTAACTCTATGTATGTTGAACTAAGAAAAAACGAGAATCAGCACCAGAAAGTAAGGAAATTGCATTTTTTTCCCTACACAATACAAATGACTAACAAGATAAATGATAACATGTGACGACAACGAGAATAAAAACACCAGCAAGGGGTAAAATATTAGCGTCAACTGAGTTGTCTGAAGAATTAACACTTTCGAAAAAAAATGTCACGATTCGAGAAAACTTTTTTATTGCTTGGTGACTGGTAAAAGCTTTTCAAGATTTTTTTTAATGAAAAATGAATCATTTGAACTTTGAGGAAAGAAATGGAAAATCTTTGCGACGCTTCATGATTATTGAATCAGTTTAATTGAATTCAAGTTGCTATAAGTATTTCTATTTGAATAAGTTAAACTACATTTAATTGCTTATTTCTAATATCCCAAAGCAAAAGTTCTCTTCTTTCGAGTCAACATAATTAGCTTAGTATCTTAAGGATGTTTAATTAACAATTATTTATGTTTAATCATTTAAGCTTTTATAACATGGAAAACATTAAAAATGCAGAAGCTCATAGTTTAAGCATAATTTATTTAACCATTCGTTATGGTTGATTGCTCTTCAAAGATAAAATGTGCACGATTTTGCTTTGATGTCGAGCTTCATTGCTCTCAATATCTCAAAGATATCTTACTTGTTGCTTACATCTCACAATGATAATGCTGCTGCGAATGCTTAAAGCAATATATTTTATTCAAGTGCTATAATGAAAAGGATCTTGAAAGATTTTGCAAGAAATTATTCAATTACATTTCCAGAGCGCAGCAAGAAAAAGTGCTGAATGGAAAATTGATTGATTTAAACATTTCAATCTTACATCAACTCTTTGTCATTGTAAGCTACATGAAAGGAAATATTCAATAAAAACAATTTTTCTCTTTATAAGGTTGAGAAATGTTGGAGTTTGTGGAAACAAATGTTTTTTTCATCTCAGCAGTTGATTTTCAATTTTTAACCATAAATGTGTGGTTGGACGTGTTATAGACAGCAAAGATAAGTGACGAGTTTCGTCTTTATAGACATAAACGAATCATCAATTCAAGAAGTTAAATTTAAAGAATGAAAAGACATTTTAATCTAAAAGTTTTGCTGATCAAAAACTGTCGAAGTGAAGTGCTTAGAAACGAGATCAAAGTTTAAATTTGTAAAATTGAAAACTTAAAGACAGCGATTGAAATAATAGAAAATAAATTTAAAACTTCATGCAAACTATTTACGGCAACAATGGAAATAATGTAAACATAAATATCTAAGAAAATGAATGAAGAAAACACTTAAAATGCAAATGTTAATCAACTTGATATCAAATGGTCAGATACTTTAGATATGTAGCAGAAAACCTTTCATTGAAATATTTATGCAATGAATAACTTTCGCCTAAGTTCATAAACGAGGATTTTAATAATTTTAAGAGACTGCAGCATCTGAGATCTTTTATTCGCTAATGATGCAGATAAATGTATCTTGAATATTTTGTATAAGTTTCTTAATTATTCATCCGTCGTGGACTTAGACTGCACCAAGTGAACGTTCATTAATTTCCATTTTCCTTCAAGGATTTTCCTTTTCTCTAAAATTTATTTGTTTCTATTCTGCAACACGAGGAAGAATGTTAAATATTCAAACAAATAAAAGTAGAAAATTAAAATAAATTTCAATTAAGAAAGAAACAATTTAAATTACCTTCCAACTATTAACTAACGTTGAGGTGAAATTTTAAATGAAAATTTACTGAAACATGGCAAAGTTTAATTGACATTTGTCCTTAATTTCTTGTTGATTGTTTAGTAGTGCACAGATGCGTGAAACATTACCCATAAAGAAGCTTTGCAATTGGTTTTCCTTATTTCGTTCTCTTGTAATTGAAAATCATTCTTGAAAGTTTCTTTTGTTAACTTTACATAATAAAAAGATTCCGAGGTTAACATTCAACTAGGATGATGGTTAAGTGAAGTAAATTCAATGAAATTAAAGTCGTAAATTTTATAAATGGTAGATATAAAGTAATTTGAATAAACACATTTCTTAAAATTAGGTTACAAGCTTCATTATTCACTCAATACAAAATGCTGAGAACAAGTAATTTCTTAAGTACGACACGAGCATTTATTTAGGGTCGCTTTCAAAAGCTTTATGATTTATTTTCTTCACGGATTCATGCTTTTTATGATACGAAGAAGTCAAATCCAGACGATAAATTTATTTTTTATTAAAAAGTTTGCGATCTTGCTTAAACTTTTGATTCTAAAGTCCCGAACGATTTTTGTTTCTTATTTTGGGTGACAATCGTCAAGTGATGTTTAACAAAGGAAATATAATTTTAGTATAATCATTTTAAGTTGATATAAAAATAGATTTCCTAGAAAGCAACATGTCATGTCACATGTCAGCATAAAGAGCTGAAACAAATGTTTCGATGATAAACATATTTATCTATGTGTCGTAATGTTTTAAGGAAATCTTCTTCGTCTTACTTGTCATTGTCTGGTATGTTTATGTAAAAAATGATTCTCATGAACCAGAAATTCAAAGAGATTTTCCGTTCATTGTGAAAATGTCTTTGGATTTATTGAAATGTGTATAATCCGCTTTCAGTTCTTCCTTCTGAAATGAAATCTGAAGTGAAATTGATTTCCCACTGTGTTCCTTTACTTTTTATTTTCACTTTTCACACATCCATGCTTGATTAACTTTTCAATCAGATTGTGACGTGCTTTAAGAAGTCAAGTCTAATTATAATAGACGATATACTATTCAATGAATTGCTGCACGTTTCTGTTGCTTCGAACAGCAGCAATTTGTGATCATTCTTCACAAACATGCGAAAGGAGAATTCATTAGAAAATCAATCGTGCAAAACAACACATAAATCGAATGTGAATTGCTTGAGAGCTTTCCCTTGTCGCAGCTTCTCCTTCTTGATGCTATTGTAGAAAGTTCGACCCAGATTCTCGCCACTCACGTTCACAAAGCGATATCCACTCCAAAAAAAATTCTTTTTCATTTTTTACTCGTTGATAATGATAAGAAATAGTTAAACATCGTTCACAAGTTAACGTGGAATTAAAGTAAATGATCTGAGAAAAGGAAATTTTCACCTCGAACGCTAAGCCCGTCAAGCTTTAATAAAACGATTTCCTTTAATACCATGAAACTTCACAAAAGCTGTTAAATATGTCAGAAAAATATTTGTTTACATCAAACTTTTCACTTTGTCATAAATTTTACTTCATGGTTTTGTCATGATGAAACTTTTTGTATCATTTCACAGGAATATGACATTGAATGTTAACAGTTTTAGAAAGCGAAAGTTCCAAATTGATTAAGGAAGGCATGCATCTTTTTTGAAAGGTCAGTGAAACTGAGGAGACTTCAATTTAAACTTGAGTTAGGATATATCTTGAGGTATGAATTTTTATGGGTAGGTTGGAATTAATAACAAAGAATCTTGATGACAGGAAATATTTGATGCGTAAGATTTTCTTTTATACTTTATGCGACATTAATAGCTCGCTCGGATAACTTCTCATGTTTCTTATTTTCTTATTTTTAGAGCTTCTCAATCCAAACTCTTCTATCTTTTATGAAAAAATCATAATGAAGTTCATGACTATGACAACTTCAGGTGAACAAAATTTTGAGACCTTTTTAAAAATTTTCAATTTAACGCTTCTTGACTTTTTTAGCTTTGATTTTTCATACTGAATTCATTCTTTTATTTACACCAATCATCTTTCCTTGAACTCTCTCTTCCTCTCGTAAAAAAGGTCATTTTATATATTTCCAGATGCAAGCAATCTTGAGGAACCATCAAGAATGCGAATTTCAATGTCTCGAGAATGAAAGAAAGGGAGAGAGAGGGAGGGGGAGGGAGGGAGAGTGCTTTTGATTATTGCATCATCATTAAGCATACAATAATAAATTATGAATAAAAGAAGATTGAACTTAGTTTCCATGTGAAATTTCCAAGCGCTTCTTTCTTGATGATGGCTAAAATAAAGCTTAGAATGCTTAATGCATTCAACAACCTTGGATTGAAGATTGAATAAAAACATTTATTAGCAGAAAATTTCTAAGATAATGTCATCATGAAATGTTTTTAGAAATATAATAAATTGAATCATTTTATCAAACGTATCGTTTTATTCTTCTTTTATCCACTTGATCACCACAGGATATCAGAAAAACTAGACAATCAAAGGATTCGTAAGCAAAAAAAAAGAGTCATCGTGCGGCAAAAAGCAGTCCTCATTGTCTTTTTATGTTGACCATCAATGACAAGGCTAGTGCTTACTTCCTATACGCTATGTTTATTCTAGGGTCGGTCGGGAAGAAAAAATTAAGGAAAATGTCAATGGATACCATAAATAACGATCCATTATGGTCAGCAACGGCTTCTCAGTCAACGAACTGCTTTCCTTTCTTTTTTTGCAACGACGACATGTTGCTGTTCATTGATTTCTTCTTCCTGTTTATTCTCCTTTTTTTTGTCTCATCAAAACAAGCAGGCATAAGCTTCAATAAATTGTCGAAAATGATGACAATGAGTGTCTCATATGACGGAATTCATAACTTTTGTTTTTGATGAGATTGGAATAAAATTTTCTCACATCATGGTGTCGTTGGAAAGTTCTTCAGAAAATATAAATTGTTTTTACATTCATGCCTCTCCAGCATATGATATCGATTTAAAAACACTTTCGATGACATATTCTCTTAGATAAAGATAATAAAACCGCCAAGTTAATTTCTGAAGCTCAACTGTTGACAAATATTTTATCAACTTCCTATTTTCCATACCTCAGAATGAAAATTCTTTCTTAACATTTACCGAATATGAACTGCAAAAAGATATTTATTTTCGAAATAATATCAATTCATTTTATAAGTCACGAGGAAGAGAAAATACGTCAGCTTGAAAAAATGATTGTCATGATAAAAGAAGAAGAGAATTTCAATTTTGGTGAATTTGCATAGACATACACGCTAGAATGTTTAATAAAAATAAAGCATCAAAGAAAATATTTCATGCTATTCCAATAAAATATTTTTCAGTCAATCATTCAAATCCAAATGATAATTTTAGCAACATTTCTAAGGAAATAAATGAAGAGAAATGGAATTTCGCTTTTTCAAATTTGGATTCTTGAACTGAAAGCATGAATGAAAAATTCCACGTGCTTCCTTTTCAACGATGATAGAACTTGAAAGAATGCTTTAAGAGCGAACATTGAAATAAGTCACAGAGAAGGAAAACAATTATTTAACTGACTACTTGAAGAAAGCAAGGGAAAGAATTGCAAAAAGAGAATGCATTAAAACATGTTACAAATATTTATTATTTACAGAGAACTCAGCAAAGCAATCAAAACATTTCAAAAAACGATATCAGATTCATTATTAAATTTTTATTCTTCAATTTGTATTTTTCGCAAGAATTTTCTTTTTTTTTATGTCTTCCAATATTTATGATGAAGATAGGAAGGAATAAGTTGAAACGTCAATTTGAAATGCTCGAGATATATCAAAATAACCAACATAACAGTTGATTACGAGAAGATTTCTGAATTTTAACTTCATGTTATATTTAGTTGTCTATTTATATGAACTAACTCGAATAAACTTGATGCGAGTGAGGAAAGATTACAAAAATAAAAGTTATGCATTTGTTCATTAAGAGTGATTTGAAGTTGAGAAAGCTTCGTGGATTATTCGGTTGATGAACTTTCATATTTATTCTTAACACTACTATGAGGAGCTATTCTTATCATTCACACTTGAAGCTTAAAACTTACGAATTTAACGAAATCATTCAAACGTGAATTGTTTGTTAAACAAGTTAAATTCAAAATGTTAATATTAATACTCAGAGTTCTTCATTGAAGGAAACTTCATCATTTCCCTCGTAGCCATAGACCAACGATTACCGTTAAGATAAGAAAACACATTTTATTCCACCCACAACAAAACGAAAAACCTTCTCAGAATAGGATTTTAATTATTCCAAACCACAAGAGCCCCACTTCAGTCTTAACAAGTTACAAGAGTGTGAATATTTAACGATTATTTAGTCAGTCTTCTTAATTCATTTTAATGCATTTAATTTATCAACGTTCAGCTTTTTGAAAACTTTTATGTGATTTTAATTGTTGAGCAAAGAATAAGCGAGAAAAGAAATTTAATTGAATTAAAACATAAAATAAAAACTGCGATATTCAGTCGAGAATAAAAATTTATTTCAACATTCTTGGAGCCTCGAAGTTTCGGCGGAGCACAGGAAAAAAGAAAAATGTAATAAAAATCTGGAATTTAGTTTTTCCCGGGAAGCTAAACGTTATTTGAATGCCAAAAGAATAAATGGAGAACAAATTTTATAAATAAAAAGAAAATATTAAAGCTTCTTATCAAGCTTGACGTCATGAATATTAATTAAATAAAGAACTTTGACTTGGGACAAAGAACAAACCTTGGGAAAAGTGCCACAGAAATATTTCAATAAATTTTCGTGTTATTTTCAATTCATCAGCTTTCTATTTGAGAAGTTAATAGGCAATTTCAATTCTAGTTCCGGTCCACCTAAAGTGAAGACATTTAAGAGAATGATTGATACACTTCCGATTTGATTTTCATGACCATTCAGAAATGACAGAAATATGTTTTCATAGATTTAACTAAAATTATTGGAAAAGTTAAATTGAGTTTGGTTAGGAGATTTCAACTCTCCTTGATGCTTATTTACAGTTCCTCGTTATAAAATGAATTACCAAGATTTTCATGTCCACAACAGCGCATTGAATGAGATGATTGAATCAATATTTAATCTGCAATGGTGAAACGTTGTGTAATTAAATATTTGCATTTGATTTTAATTGGAATGTTCGTTAACTGTTTCTTTAGCAAGCTTTAAAATGATTGATAAAAAAAGCAACAACAGTTGCTTATTCATCCATTACAAGTTCGAATCTGAAGTTTGAAATCCTTGATATTATCCTTTCGACACGAGCTCCATGATTTACGATTCTAAATCCGATTCCACGTGCCCTCCACCCACATACATCCATGGAAACCTAAATCATCTCAAAAACTTAAATCAATTTTTATTTCTTCGAAAAATTATTTTCTTCACTTTTTATTCACTGAAATTATTTTTCTTGTTACATCAAAAAGCTCAAAAGCAATTTTATTAATAGTTGAGGGAAAAACGAAAGCTTCTTTTTTTCATTTTGAATAATTTATCGTCAACTTTAATTTTTAAAATTTAAGGAAATTGGCTTCGGAAGCTTTACTTTAGCAATTTACGTAAGTTGTGTTCAATCTCACAACTTTTTTGCAACTATTAAAAATGAACCTAGTATGAAAAAAACTTTTAAACAAAGCTAAAAAGCTTTGCTTTCCTTTCAATCTTTCAATCCTTTCAAAATATGTATTTGAGTTTTCAACCGACGTCAATAACTAATTTCTTTCACGTCGCTATGGATTTCTTACGTATACCTAGACAAAATATTTGATTTTATTCAATCGAGTTAAGCAATTGCTATAAAAATGCGTTCGACCTCATACTTGCAAACCGAAGCGTATTTCATTCACAGTTATAAATCGTAAAAGCTTAAAAGCAAATGAAATTAAATGAAATTTTAAATGGATCGTAAATTCAGTTTTCTTCTTCATATTTGAATATAAATAAAAAATAATAAATTAATTAAAATGAAATTCATTAAATGCTTTAGAAATGCCATGCATTATAACTTACGTTTTATGGTTTTTGGTATAATTTTAAAGAGATTAATCATCATCACAAATAAATATTTATGTATAAGAATAGATAATGGTGTAGAAATTATTCGAAACAGTCGTCAAAATTTTAAGCTTTCATTCATTTCTCGTCCTAAGCATACAATGGAATGTCATGAAAAATGCAGTGGAAATAAATGGAATGAGAAATGTTTTTAGCGATAAAATTTCACTTCAGCCTCAACACAATCTTTTAATAATTCATTTAATTCATCAGTTGGAGCATTTTCAACGTAGCCATCGATTTCATCAACGCATGACTTCTCCAATGACTTTAAAAGCTCACCGACTTGGTCCCATTTACGATTTTCGTGTAATTTTCGGAGTGGAGTTTCATCGTCTTCCTTGAGTGCTGTCAAGGTTGAAATGCGCGCATCGTTTGTAAATATAAAAGGTTTAAAGACACTTTCGCGTGGATCAGGAGTTCCTGTGAACCAATGGACAGCTACAGACTCTTTCAATACACTTACAAAGCTAGAAGCGATTGTTTCGCTGCATTCAGCGGAAGAGCGAAGTACTTCAAACATTTTTTGAGCTGAGAATCCACTAACTGGCTCATCATTTGGCCATTTAATTTCAGCAACTTCCATAGAAAATGTTTGACTGAAGTTTAATTCACTGCTGCCGTCAAACAGTGCAATTTCTTTCAGTTTATCTTCTAATTCTTGAGATTTCTTATCAATCTTTGTGGTCACGGCGAAACCTTTTCCAAAGGCTCGACAGCCTTCAGTGATTCTTTCAGCTGCCCACAGCTTTCCTACAATGTTCATTACATATGCTTCTTTAATATCACAAATGAAGAATGCGTATTTTGGTGATATATCAACACTTTCGTCTTTGTTATATTTATCGATAAGGGTTGAAATTACTTCGACAGCCTTTTCAGCTGAGTCAGATCTTTCTAAAGCAAGTCTAAAACATTCAATGATAGGCAAATTTAATTAGCAACAATAATATGCGGGCTTACTTTGTTAAATCCAATGCTGATAATCCTTCTGCTGGTTTATTGTCAGCAAAAAGTGTTGAGATTGAAATTTTTTGGTCATTTGCACCGCAAGTTCCATTTAGAATGTAGCCAAAAGTATTCGATTCTTTTGGAATGTCAGTGCTTTGACACTGGATAAATGATAGAGGAAAAAAAAGTAAATATTTATATTAACTGTAGAGTTAACAGGCTGCATATGTCTGGAAAATTTTTCGTATTCTTCTTCTACTTACTTTTACAGTTCCGTCATTCGGCGAAAAGAATAAAATCTCTTTGCAACAAAAACTAAACGAGTTACGACCATAAATAACACCATTATTGATTGCTGGAGGAAACACCACAAATACTTCACTCATCTTTAATGATTTAATATGATCTTGATGGTTTTTCGGCGAAGAATCCTAAAAAGAAATTTTTCTGTGATGGCAAAAACGTACAATCTGCTTTTGTGTAACCTTCGTAACTTCAATAACGTTACACAAAAACCTAAATTTAAAATATCGAAAACTTTTTAAAGATCTCCCTTCTGTTTCAAGAATATATGAATAGATAGTTAAAGTAAAATAATTACCTAACAGCTTTATTTTCTTAAAAGTTATTTAATAAAGATTTTTTGTTTTTTATGAGAGAACCCAATTTAAGTGGTGAAGTCAATTAAACTTTTTTAAAAGATTGTTTAGATGATTTAATAAGAAGCTTTCTTGTGTTTCAATACTCTAAAGTGAAGTTTTTAATGAATCAAAATAGAATTGATGTACGCCTCATCATAGACGTTACAGCACACGAAAATATTCAAAAAATCTCTTTTGTGCAACTTCATACAACCTTGCGCAACAAACAAGCAGGCTTGGTGAGGGTGTCGAACTTTAAAGAGCGTCGTGTCGAAGGCAAAATGACTTGCATGTAACTTAGTACTAAACCCGTAATGGCGCTTGTGATTGAGAAATAATTTAACTTTTAGTCTATATAGCATGCTCCAAAGCGTTTCAAATAAATCGGATTCGGTTCTTCAAGTAAAACATAATGTTGTGTTCGATTTATTTTTCACTATTTTGCTTTCTTAACAGTGATTTGTGAAAATTTTCAAATCTGGTTTTGTGCATGAGATGAAAAAAAAACAACAAAAATAATAATTATCAAAATAAACACACGATTTTCCCTTTTCCACTTGAAAACACCAATAAATGTTGTTAAGATTGGGTGCAAAGTGTAAGTGATGGGTGGTAGACCCACAGAAGCAACCGGATACGCCCAAAAATATCAAATAAATAAACCAACTGGAAACTCATCGACAAAAAAGTCTTAAAATCAAATTGGAAAATTGTTTATTAAACAACAAAAACCGCCAATCAAAGACAAATACTGTGTGCATGTGAGCATTTCAAGTGCATTAATTCAATTAAAGCTCAAAATTTTGATTTAAAGTAAAGTGAAAAGGATTTTTTTTCGGCTACCGAAAGTGAAGTGTGAGAAAAGAAAGAAAAAAAAGACGTGCGGGGGGAAAACAATTGAAAGACAGAAAGCTTTAGCCAATAAAAAGCCCCAATATGAATAAATGGAGAGACGCATAATGTGAAAAAAAAGGAATTGAAAAGAGAAAAAGAAAAAAATTAGGTTAAGAATCTTAATTCGTTAGATTCTTAATTCTGCATTTGTGAAATCATAGAAAACAAATCGTGAACAGCGTTTGTGTTCTTTATCATATTGAAAGCTTTTCTTAATAAAATAAAACATCGAACAGGGTAAAAATCAAAGGCTTCAACCTTTTTCAATTTCTTGCCTTATTGCATCGCGCAATTTGGCATGGGCGATCGCAAAGTAATCAACAATAACCGCGGGCCAGAATGAAGGAGATGGTCGGTGGATGTTGCGTATGTTCCGACGAAAGGGGCTGGCCTGAAAATCCCCTCGTCTATTGTGATGGTCAAAATTGTATGGTTGCGGTTCATCAGGCATGTTATGGAATTGTAACAGTGCCGACAGGAGTAAGATTATTATTCCCTTTAAATTTATTCAATAATTTTTAATGCAAGCCCTTACAGCCTTGGTATTGTCGTAAATGTGAATCACAAGAGCGCTCAGCAAGAGTGCGATGTGAGCTTTGTCCGTCGCGCAATGGTGCACTTAAAAAGACGGACAATCAAGGATGGGCACACGTCGTGTGTGCTTTGTACATTCCCGAAGTTCGATTTGGCAACGTATCGACAATGGAGCCGATCATTCTTCAACTTATACCACCCGAACGGTATAACAAATGTAAGTTTACAATACAAAATGTTGTAATTTGAATCTAATTTGAATTGTTATCGTTTTAGCATGTTACATTTGTGCAGAAATTGGAAAGGGTTCGAAAGCAACAGCTGGTGCTTGTATGCAATGCAACAAATCAGGTTGCAAACAACAATTTCATGTAACATGTGCACAACAATTAGGATTATTATGTGAAGAAGCTGGAAATTATTTGGATAATGTCAAGTATTGCGGTTACTGTCAACATCATTACAGTAAATTGGTAAGATGAAATTTTAATTGAAAGATTTTAAATGTTGAAAATTATTTTGATTATTGTAGAAGAAAGGAGGAAATGTTAAGCCGATTCCACCTTATAAGCCTATAACGCATGAGACAAACTCAAGTGATTCACCATCATCACCAGAGAAAGACGCTGATGTGTCTCATCAATCGTCGCGTTCTCAATCAAGTCGACCTATCGATCCACTCGCTACAACTTCATTATCGACATCATCTTCATCTTCCAGCAGTAAACAAAAAAAATCGAGCAGCAGTAGCAGTAGCAGCAGTGCAACAAAAAACTTGTCAAGCTCAAACACTCAAATTCCTTATTCAAGTAATTCGAATCAATTATCGAATGTCATCTCGACAAGTGGCAGCTCGTCATCTCGCAATTCATCTTCCTCGAAAGACAAAGAGAAGGATAAAGATAGTAAACATAGTTCGAGTAGCAGTGGTGGCAGCAACAGCAGTAAAAGTGTAAATAAAATCTCATCTAGTACAAATAATAAGCATGATAAAGATCCATCGTCATACTCATCATCATCGTACTCTACATCGGGCTCATCGTCCCGCGATAAGAACAAATCATCGTCTTCGTCGACATCCAAAAGTAGTAGTCAGAATGTAAGCAATAAGGATGACGGCGTTACCGGCAATAGTCATAATTCTAAAACTTCATCACAACCCTCGTCATCATCAGCAACAACGATTCGAATAACCACTTCAAGTGCAACACCAACTTCACCCGTATCTACAATCATTCATAAACACGATGGCAACAGTAGCAGTTCATCGAAAGATAACAACGTTGTACAAACATCAACTAATGCCGCTATAATGACATCGCAAGTACAACAAAATCAAAATTCTTTAAAATCAAGTGATGATGATGTAAAGACGAGTAGTTGGCATCATCATAACAATATGGGAGGATCAAAGATGACAAATTATCCATCAGGAAGTTCAATTGTGAATTCTGATGGTGTAAATGACAACAGTAATGATGCAAATAAAGCAAATTACAATGCCATGACGAAAAAGAGAAAAGCGATGCATCAAGCGAACTCATCGAGTCGAAATAGTGCCGATGAGAATATAAGCAAGTAAGTTGAAGGAACTTCTTTCTCTCGATTTATTTTATTCATTTAACTTACTTCCAACAGAGATGTGTGTAAAGATTTAAGTGTCAAAGTCGTGCCCCTTGAAAAGTTGGATCCATCTGTCAGCAGTGAATTTGAGCGGCATTATAAGAAGGTGAGAGAAATTGAATTCTTGTAAGAAATTGTACACCTTAAAACAGCAAAAGAAATCTTTCGTTAAGTTTTATTAAGACACACAAACACATCGAAAGATTTTCTCAATACTCGTAAATACTCTCCCGCTTTTTTATTTCAAATTTCTTGACAAGAAATTCCCTTTACGAATCTCATTTCGAGAAAGTTGCAGTTGTGTGTAGTTTACTTTCAGTTTTCTTTAACCCTCTTATTCATTATTTCATGTTTAGTCTCAGTTCATATTTAGAGTTTTATTCAGGTAAAAAAGAACCTACAATTTGCACCTTTTCCTTCCAACGGGATGTTCTTAACATCGTAGACGTTTTTTGCGTTCCGAGAGAGTATTTTTTATTGAGTTCCTTAGGGACGACCTCGAAATCATGTTTAATAAATGTGTTTACTGCACGTATACATAATTTTTTTATTGGTGATTCCCGGTGAAAACAGAAAGAAAGAAAGAAAAAAATTTGTTCGCTCCTTTTGCATTTCAAGCTGCTTTTTTGGATGATTTTCTCATTACATTGAAAGTCTTTGTAGTTTGTGTTTAACATTAGATGATGAAAGATGTATTTCATTAAATAATTTTACTTTTAAATATTGTTTATGTCGCGACAACGAAAGCAAAGCTTTTACAATTAAATGCAGTAGCATAAAAAATCTATTTTCGTTGAAAGATATCTATGGGATTATGTAGAAAGAAAAATATAAATGAGAGAAAAGTCCGGATGGACGATGTGTGAGTTGATGTGCGTAGAAACGAATAAGAAAAGAAAACCATGCGGTGGCCGAATTATCAGTTTCTGTTTTCATAAAGAATTGAGATCAGTTTTTTTTTGTGAACGGTTCTAAGTATTTAAATTGAACATCTGTGAAGAGAATAAAAGTGATTAAAAAGCAAATAAAAAACAGAAAGTTGAGAAGAATATAAAAGAAGAGCGAAGAAAGAGTTTCATGATGAAGCATAAACGTCATCAGAAAGATCGGAGGGATAAGAGTGATAAGCTCCATCGTCACGACGATCATCATTATTACAAAGCGGAATATTGTACAAAACGTGATAATAAGAAATACACGATGAAAGATTTGTCAGCAAATTATGGCGATTCGAGCGAGCCGAAAAAGTTGATTATTTACATTGTAATTATATTTTTGTTTGGTAAACCTTTCGATGATTAATACACAACGATTGGAATTTGAAGGTTTAGAAGTGAAGTTCGCTGACTTTCTCATTCTTCGCTAAACGATAAATAATTGAAAAACAATCTTATCACATTTGAGTATAAATAAAATTGATTGCGTCATGAAATTTTGAAATTTTTGAAGACGAAAAATTTTATTTTCATTTTATAATAAACATTCAAGTTCATGCTAATCAAATTCATGTTATCGTCTTCTCTTTGTTTTAGGCACGAACTGATTTGAATTCTCAGTCAACTCCAGTTCCAACATCATCACCACAAGAGCCAACAAACATTCAAAACATCAATCCAAATGTCATACAACATTCAACAGGCTCAACAACTGTGACAAGCGCTTCATCTCATACTTCTGCTCCGCCATCAACAACAACATCGCCGGCATCTGGAAGTGGAGGATCGTCAAATAAATCGCAAGTTATAACACAAAATCTTCATGTGAAAGTGAGCGGTGGAGTTGTGAAGGATGAACGTCAGCAGCAGCCGGAAAGTCTTGTTGTGTCAGTTCCATTATCGTCAGCTACAACAGTACCTGGTATTCAATTGCCAACAACAAATAGCAGTAATAACAGTAGTAGTAATCATTCAATAGTCTCAACAATTGTCAACACAAATCAAGTTCCATCGTCGCAAACCCCGTCAGCACCTTCAATGTCATCATCGTCTGGCCCGCCACTTGGTAGTTTGTATCAGCATTTAACAAATAATCAATCAGGAAATCAACGAGCAAGTCCGTTAATTCAACAAACTATGGGAAGAGCGTCACCGATAACACCAACGCCGAATCTTTTGGCAACTGACGGTCACGGTTCAAGCAATCACACAAGCGTACTTCAAAACATGAACACAGGAACCGGCGGTGTTATCTCATCAGCAGCCTTTCAGAGTTCCAACACGAGCATAACCGAAACAAGTTCAACAGGAATGTTAAAAGTGACATATGAAAAGCAGACGCCATCAAGAATTCAAGCGATTCAACAAGAAGAGACAAGTCGTAGATCGAGGTGAGTTCAAAACCTTCTTTTGACTTGTAAAAATGGAATTTTCTTTTATTTTCTTATTTTACTTATTCATTGCGTCGTTTATGTTGTTGTCATGTGTTTGTTTCATTTCTTTATTATTTTATATTTTTATTATCATCATGATGTTGGTCTGGAATGGATTTTTCTGTTACAAAAAGATTCTTCGTAAGTTTAATGATTTAGAAAGTTTTGTGACAATTCTTCAATCCATTCCACCATCGTTATTGTTTAACTTTCACTTCATCATTTCATTCTAACACAAATTGCACAAATGCAGTTATTTTAATTAGTTTTTCTTTTAATTATGAGTTGATGAAATGCGCATTTTTTTATTATTATCATTGAAAAGTATTTTTAAAAAAGAAATCATCGTCAATCATCATTGTCATCATTAACACTTCACTCTTTTTTTTCTTCTTTCCTCCCGTTCGTCATTGCATTAATAATCACACCCCCACAAATCAACCACACAATATTTGCTGCCATTTCATTATGCTAACATTTTGTTTGTTTACTGGTGCGATGTGCGCTTTTGGCGGGAATCAAAAAAAACTTTTAATTCAATTGCCATCATTTAATTGAAAAATTTCTTTCTATCTTTTGGAAATTAATGAATACAAAATTAGATCGCAAACAAATGATGGCAAGAAAGGCAAAAAGCGCACAACCACTGAATCATCTTCAAGTCGCATAAATCACTCAATTAGTAATAATAGTAAAGGGACGATCGCGTCCAATCACGCACGAAATCATAAGTCGAATAAAATTAACACTAAAAATAAAGTTGATTTGAGTAATGATGATGATAATATTGGTGCCGGTAGTCTTTTGATCGGTAGTGGTTCAGCTTCTAATGTGCACTCAAGCACCAGCAACAACACACACACGACATCAACATCAACGACACAATCGGCGATTGTAAAACTTTCACCTGCACCGTCATCGACGGGTAGTGCACGAACTTCATCGCCGATAGTTAATGTTACGATTATGAAGAAATATCGAGATGAACCATCTACTTCCAGAACACCCGATATGCCATATCATGGAAGTCTTCCAACAGCTGGTGGCTTAAAATTCGGTTACGAGCAACAACAGCCGGCTGGATTGGTGATCAACACAAACACAACACCAGCAATGCAACATGCATTGAAAGAATCACCACCAAGTTCACCGGGATCGGAAGCAAGTGCAAAGAAGCGAAGAAAAGCTGGAAGTGGAAATTCTCATATTAGTCAACCATCACCTGTCAGTTACATGCATTCCGAATCTCTTAAAGAGAAGGAATCAAAAACCATACTTCAGAATGGTGCAATTCCACTTTCGACGCATCATATGCTTGGCAATCAATTGAATCCGAGCAGTAGTGTTGCTAAGAACATGACAGAGACGTTGAATATGGAGATTGAAGCGCACAGTATTTATTCGCATGATCCGCCTGTGAATCTCGTTGGTCCGCAATATCCTGGAAGAAAGGAATCGGTTTGTATTTCCCTTCTTATTTTCTCAAGCTTCATTTATTTAATTACGACAATTGCAGAATAAACTTTCATCGTCAACCTCGTCGTCATCAACCACAACATCATCTGGACCAGCTTCGCTCACTTCAATGCTTAGTGGAGCTTCGTCATCAAATGGCGCACCACAAAGTCTTGAACAACTTCTTGAACGACAATGGGAGCAAGGATCACAATTTCTTATGGAACAAGCTCAGCATTTTGACAGTAAGTGTTGAATTTCTTAAATTACTTTTTTATTGTCATCAAAATAATTTTTTTAATAATTTTGCATTTTTTTTCAGTCGCTTCACTTCTTTCGTGCTTACATCAGTTAAAAATTGAAAATTCTCGTCTTGAAGATCACATAAATGGTCTCGTTTCACGACGCGATCATCTTCTTGCTGTTAATGCTCGTTTGGCAATTCCACTTGGTCAACAAAGTTCAACGAATCAAGGTTTGATTAAATAATGCTCGGATTTATGTTGAATTTTGTTAATTTCTTGAAATTTATAGCAACACATCTGAATAATGGTCCTTTAGAGACTTCACCTACTACGCAACAACCGCCACAACCTTCACAACAACAACAACAACAACAACCACCTCCACCTGTGACCATAAGTAACAAGCGACCTGCTCCAATAAATCCGGTTAACACGATTCAAGTGCCACCAATTGAGAATGGACTCGACTATCGAGGACATCATCCTATGAATTCAACTCATCAACAACAATCGTCATCGGTTCAACAGCAGCAACAGCAAAGCAGCAATATAAGGTTCAGGCGTTAATCAACATGAAACAATTTTGTGCGAAATATGAAATAAATTTTTATTCTAGACATTCACCAGCCATTTTAAAAGGTAATACAACAACGCAAGTGGTGACAATTGATGCCGTTAATCTCAATCATCCGCAACAACAACAACATTCACATCAATTTCAACAACAAAATGCTCAATTTCAACAAATTTATCAGCAACAAAGTCATGTGAATTCAGTACGAAATCGACAAGGAAATTCATTTCAATCACAATCAGCACCGGTTGGTTACACGACTGTACATAAAACCAAAAATTAGCAGAATGTGAGTTGTTGGGGTAGACATTTAAGATGAAATATAAGAAAGAAAACAAAGGAAAGAAAAAGTGTAAATAGGGTTAAAGAAACGGTTTTCATCCTGGTTTAAAGTTTTTCGAAAATGTCCGAGATTTTCCGAAATCAGCAAAGTCCGTGTTGGGAATCAGCATAACCCGGACAAGAATAATATGAGAAACTTTACAACTTTTTGCGTCATTACACATTGATTTCTCGTCTCTTAACTGGATGAAGTAGTAAATAATGAATACAAAACGATAATTCATCATTTTCTACTTCATTCATTTAATTATCTGCACATTTTGTGTTCTGCCTTTCCACAAGACATTTTTTGTTTCTTTTAGTTCGAATTTCATTCTTAAGACTGCCAATTCTATTAAATAATAATATTGTAAAGATAAAAACAAAACCGTTAATGCCAAATTCAAAGACTTAACATTACGACACACAACAAAAAGGAAGAAAATTTCATTTTTGTTTTCATAATTTTACGGTTATGTTTATAAATATCACAAGATGATCAGTTTGAGTAATTTTTTTTGTTGAAAAGAAAGTCAATCGAATTGTATGAAAAAAGAAAGAAAATCGTTCTGAGTTCGAGTACAAAAAAAATTACGCAATGTGATCTCATAAAAATATTTGTCGTACCAAAAGAATGAGAATTATTGAGATTAACGGCTAAACCGGGAAAAAAAGTATAAAAATTAGCCACATCTTGGCCATAAATTACAGAGCAACACAACATAAAGCAGGAAGTGGCAAATCGAACAAAGTGAAAAAGGGAATGAAAATTATAAAAAGTATCTTAATGCGAGTAAAATTTGATGATCAACTATTTATCGCTACTATTTAAAAAAAGTTTCCTGTAAAAAATAATGAAAAACTTAGTTTAACAGAATTTTTTCCTCAATTTTTTAAACATTTTTGCATAGATGAAAACTTTTCTTGTGAATCGAAGGAAAGAGATTGAAGACATGAAAAAGAAATGTCTTAAAATTTTTTAAGGGCTTTAGTCGCATGAATAATGAAACTTTTAAGGGAAACTATTTAATTTTAATTAGCGAAAATTTACACATAAATACGTGAAATAAGAAATAAAAGCAAAAACATAAAATAAAAATTAAATATTAAAGTTTAGTTGCTGTTTCGTTTAAGGTGAAAGTTTTAAAGGCTTTAAAGATTGTGACAGTTTCAATCTTTTAATCCTTTCAAGACGCTCATGTAATGTCCCAATATGTGAATGTATAATTTAGTCGTTAATGCAAGTAATTTAAAGGATGTAAAATTAGTTTAGAGGAATGTGACATAAGTAAAGAAAAGAGGAAGAGTTTTAGTGAATAATAATCAGCAATCTTGTGTTTTTTATGGAGAGAATTCTTTTGTTCCTTTTTTTTTAGATGTGGCTAAGAATTGAGGAAGATTTGGTGAGAATTTTTAAAAATATCACACGATCAAGCATTTCTCAATCATTTGGATTCACAATCCAAAAAGTTTTATTTTCTTTTTCGTTTTGTGTAAAAATTATCATTTGGATTTTGATGTCCAACAAAATGTTTTAATCAGAGATATTGATTTCGATTTCTTTTCTTATTTAAAAATATTTCAAACGTGAATTGAATCTTTTTTTTCCTAAAACATCTTTGTAAATTGTAAAATTCTAACGAAATTTCACAGTTTAATAATTACTTTTGATTACGTCGCAGATAAAGAAATGATATTACACAAAATACGTAGTGAATTAACAGCATAAGACAAATTAAAAGAATATTTATTCGATAAAACAAAACAAACAATTCAACATATTTTTTTCGATGACGAATTCAAGTGAAAAGAATCAAAAAAGCGTTTTTTAAAAAAAGAATCACAAAAATATGAAAAGGTTGAATAACTTCAAGATAACTAAAAGTTAAAAAAATCATATTAATTGAACTCAGGTATTTCATATAACAAAAACCACAACAACATTAATCTCCTCAATTATCTAGATTGTGGTGATGAAGAGACATGAATAAAATAGAAAATATTCACCAGTATTGTAAAACAAAACATTGAAAGCGTTTATAAGTTACTGTCAGAGACAATGAAATCAAATTTTAATAAATTTCTTGACATTCAAAGCTCAGAGCTTCATCTTTTATTTAACTTATTAACTTATGAACCTTCCAAAAGGACTTTTAAATTTTACAAGATTTTAAATCGTGATTTTTTTAATTAAACTTAGTTCCGAGCATCGTTCTTGTCGTTCAGGGTTTTCAGTTTTTTATCTTGACAATGAAAATTATTCACTTGCTGTCTAAGGAAAAAAAAAATAATTCAAGAAACTGCATGAATATAACAAAGCTAATCGCAATGTTAATAATCACAGCCTCAAAAATGAAGAAGAAAAACACAAGATTCTCCTACTCAACTTTATAAGAAAACAATGAAAGAAAAGAAAAAAAAAATGTTCACAGGAAAAACAATAAGAAAAGTAATGAAATTCAATTGATATAAATATTATTTTGTGTACAGTTTTCATTCATCGTTAAGGTGATGAGATAAAATAAAAAAGAAAAATAAAGAAACAAGAAAACTTCAATTGAAACTTCTATTTTATTAATATTGTTTTAAATTTTACAGGATTTGAAAGTTTTTGAATCAACTGTAAGCAAATAAAAGCAATTAAACATTTTCAACACTTAAATTCATTTTAAACAAACAATTCTCTCGATCACTGACCTTTCTAATTGTTCGTTCGAATTTATCTTGAACATTGTTAAACTGCATTAAATTATCAGGTTTAGCATTAATCCAGAAGGAATCGAATTCATAGAAAAGATAACAATAAAATTGATGGAATTGTTCAAGTGTTGGATATCCTCGTGTGCCTGTCCGAAGGAGATTATAAAAGTGAGCTTTAGCGTGGCCTTCTTTCAACAGTCGCCAAGCCATATGAGTGATGTTGATACCAACAACAGCAAAAGTGTAACCATACTTGGGATGTTGTGAGTGACACAGAAGATGACGAGCTGTGCCGGGATATTCACGAGAAAAGTAAAGCAGATTCTCAAGTCCCAACATGCCCATTCCTCTGAAGTCAGTTCCAGGATCGTCACCTTGGAATCCAATTTCTTGCCATTGCTTTGTGATTCTTCCTTCTAATTTCACATCGGGCATAAGATTGTGCCAAAGTGCCATCAACTTTCGTTCGTGGACTTCGCTATTTGGATCGTATTGTTCTAGTCTGAGATCTTCTATAATCGTCACCAACCTTCTGTACCCATAAATAGCTTCAACACATCTTCCAAACGATGGCGGAAATCCAGGATGATATTTTGGATTTATTTTCTTAACAAGTAGTACTGTGTTAATGGCTCGATCCACAATTTCAGACTGAATTTGCGAATCTGACATCGGATGTGATGTGAGATCGTTGAGACAGTAAACCAAATGTTTGATTTGTGACTTTTTTGAGAGATTAAGAGATCTTTCAACAAGCTTACATCGCTTATAACCGGAATGCGCTCCATAACATAATCGCTGGAAATATTTGGCATGTTTGAAAAAATTTATCGATTAAATTTTAATTATTTTTATCTTTACCTGCAGCTCACATAAATTTGTGAACCGATGAAGAAACCATTTGATTAATGGACGGAAAAACAAATACAAAGAATTGAAAAAGTTTTTCAAGAATATCATTTTGTTATCTTTAATTGAAATGATTTCGATTTCTTTGACGTTTTGTTATTTCACGTTGTCATGGTTTTTCAAAACTGACGCTTTATTTCATCACTTAAATGTCAATGTCTTTGTCGAATAATTGTTTTATATTTTTCTACTTTTACCTAAGATCACAATTGACAAAATTATAATGAAATTTTATGATAAATGTCTTTTATTATTCGAAACATTAACGAAATCAGTTTTAATTTTTGGATTTATTTACATTTTTGTCGTAGTATTGCCAGATGTTGAAGTTTCTTAGATGATGCAGCAAATATTGCCAGAAATACTAAAGTGTTAACTGAAAACTACTGCACATCAATCCGAAAACTACTGCACATCAATCCCTTTAAAAGTCTATGAAAAAACAACGCTTTAATTGCGCTATAAATAGTTTTTTTTCATATCTAAATAGCTTTCTATTCCAGGTACATAACAATTCTTGAAAGATTTTTATAGATTTCACATTTTCTTTCTCGATAATCAAATAGA